AATCCGAAACTAGTTTCGGATTAGTACCTTTCCGAAACTAGTTTCGGGTAGGTTTCGTTTCGAGTCCAACTCTAGTTTAGATTTTTCATCTTTCTTTGTCATGCGGAAAAGGTTTTGTCTAAAGATTATACTTAACCATTTCGGGTTTACTTGAACCAGAATTTAATTCAAGTTGAACTAATTTTATTTTATTCACTTTAGGTTTAGTAATGAGAAATTTATTAATTGAATTATTTAAATATCTATTCATGTTTTTAAATAATGAGTACTAAGAGAAAACAAAATAAATTCAAATTCTGTTAGTTAATATATGGAGTAAAAATTATCTTAAAAAACAGAGGTGCTCTTGAATCACAATAAAATAAATTAAGTATCTCTTTTCCTTTTTAGCTTATTTTTTTGAATAGTTAATTCATGCATTCTTTTTTCTATTTCAAGTTCCTTTTTTTTAAATTCTAACAATACCATTTCTTCATCTATTTCATTGATTTTATAATCTACATCTATATCCATTTCTGAATTATCACCTTGCTTTTCTACTTTTCTTTTTTTGAAATCATTATTTTCTTGAATTTCTTGAGTTTGAATATAAATTTCTTGTGAAAAATTGATTTGAGTTTCTAGTGGAGTAAAAGAATTTTTTTGATTGATTTGTTTAGACTTGCTTTTTGTTTGAATCTCTTTTGTTTCTTGCAGAGTAAAAGAATCTTTTTGATTGATTTGTTTAGATTTGTTTTTTGTTTGAGCTTGGGCATTCTCTTGAGTTTCTTGTGGAGTGAAAGAATTTTTTTGATTGATTTGTTTAGATTTGCTTTTTGTTTGTGCTTGAGTATTCTCTTGAGTTTCTTGTGAAGTGAATATAGAACTTTCAAGATTTACTTGTTTGGATTTTCCCTTCGAATTGATTAGTTTTTTATTTACTTTTGAAGTTTTAGATTACAAAAATAAATATTAGAAAAATATAAAAGTTTTCAAAAGACTTCATATATAATGCAATGGCTTACCAATATTAGATTTCTTATTATTATTATATGTATTAGAATGTTGTTGCTTATCATATTCTCTTGCTCTAAAATGAAATTCAATAATTATTATTAAAAATAAAATTAAATTAAATAAAGTATTAATAAAAAAATATTTACTTTATAATTGCATCAAGTAAAGTCATATTTCCTTCATGATAGGCATTTTCACTACATAATTTCGCTGTAAAATCTGGTGCTGAATTCCATATTTTATTATTTATTTGTGATTTTGAAGGGTTTAATAAGGCCGTTACCCAATTAGCTCCATAAAAATCAACCCAATCTATTCAAAAAATGCAATAAAAGATTAAATTATATTTTATAAAAATATATTAATAAAAAGTAACATGCCTTCAATATCAATTTCATTTGAACATTTTAATGATTTAAATATTTGAGCTATATTTTCATAAGGCGCATCTAATAACTCTTCCATAAGATTTTGGTTATCTTTTGAATATTTGCTGTTTTGAATTTCTCTGCAAAGAAATTTAAATATTAAAATTTCTTTATATATATATTATATATGTAATAATTATAATCAAAAGTTAAACATACTTTTTAAAATGGGATCTACAAATTTTATAAATTTTTTTAAGATCTTCATTTAAATAAGAACTATAGTTTAATTTGCTCAAAGCACGACCAAATCCTTCAAGTTGGACTTTATCAAGATTGCCAAGAATGCATTTCCAGCCCTCTTCATGTAAATAATAAAATTTTGGCCTCTCATTTGTTAAACTATTTATTAAATTAAAAAGGTTAAGAAACAGTTGTTCATATGATTTAACATCTATAATATTTGTAAAAACTCTAGCGTATGTAAGAGCTAGATAATCAATTAAATTATTAGTTAATAAAGTATGTAAGGTATGAAATAAAGTGTAAGACTTTATTTTAAAAAAAGAACTTACTAATTTCATGATTATCATCATAGCCATTAATCACAAATTCAATAATATTTTCTCGAATATGATTCGAAAAAGAAACAATTTCAAAATATTCAAGCTTAAGCCATGCTCTAGCTTGAACTTCTGACATACATATAATTATAATATGACCGTTTTCAGTAACAGCTATAAAATTAATTTTTTTTAAATTAGTATAATATTGCTAAAGCTAAAAAAAAGTATAAATATAACTAACCAAATTGTTGTATATAATCAGATAGATTTCCGGACCAAATATTAAAATGTAAACCTATCAAGTCCTGTCCAAATGAAGATTTTTGAACTTTTGCTATTAACTTTCTAAGCTCATTCTCGTCAGTTAAAGAATTTTGGATTTCTTGAAAATCTTTATCACCAATAACAGTTCTTATAAAATTATCTATTTATAAATTTTAAATAATGTTATTAATTAAATTATACAAGTAAAAGAAAAAGAAAAACCACCTACCGCTTAGTAATTTATCAGCAGTAATATTGATATAGGGACCAAAAGGTAAATTAATTGATGTTAACTCAAGCATCATATTTGACATATGCGGATTCATTGACTTGGGCTGGGGAGGTGGATGAGAGTGTTTGCCTTTGCATACCAATATTACATATGGTACTTTTCTATCTAATGGTATAATTCCATAGAACTTTACATTGCAATCTGATTTTTTAAGAACTCCTTCTCGTGAAGATTTATGAACAAATCCTAAAATAAAATTTTCAGTATTTAACAAAAGATTAAATAATCAAGAGTATTAACATTTATTTACCACAAGCATTTTGTTTTGAATTATAAGGAAATATACTATTGCATGATCTCTCCTTAATAAAATATCAGAATTTTGATTTTAAAATAAATTTAAATACTGTATTTAATTTTAATTTTTAGACTTACCGATTTATCTTTATGTCGCCTTAAGTATTTTTTTAATATATTATTTTAATAATATATCAATATAAAATTATTTGATTGAAATGTAGAATTATTCTTGTACTTACGTATGAGTTTTATTCATATTTATGAAATCTGTATCGATATCAACATTACAATGATCTTTATTTTTATTTTTAAAATATTCACATACTTTAACACCTTGACAATTTAAAGATATTTTTTTAGCCTTAGTATTGAGTAAATAGCAATTAACTTCGCTATTATCACAACTTTTTTTTGTATCATATTGTATCTAATAGAAGATATAAAAGATTAATAGTAATATATAGTAATATATCTGAAGCAAAAAGATATTTTTTAAAAAAGACATACAAAGTCGGTAAAGTTTTCAGCATCTACTCTTGATCTAACATATTCAATATTAATTATAATCGCTACGCCCTTTTCTGTTGTAATAGGATATTCCATGGGGAAAATATTATAGAGAAGTTTATCTACATATAGGTGTTTAGTAATCTGATATGTTCCTTGTTTTTTATCAAGTACAATTTTATCTGGTTCAAGGTCAACTTCGACACCTTTTTCACTTTCAATTAATTGCTAAAAATAATTCATTTTATTTAGTTTAAATTTTAAAATAAATACATTATCATTGGTGTAGAAAACTAAGCTTAGAAATTCAATTTACCAAATTATTTTTTTTCAACACTGAACTTGATGAACTTTCGCCATAATTATCGTAAAAATAAGACAAATTATTTTTATTTATTTGTTTGGCTTTATTTTTATCTTTTTTCTTTTCGGCCTGTACAGCTGCTTTCTCATATGTAGTTTTGTCGGTTTCTTGAAAATCATCATCAGATCCTCTCATTGTAGGTGTATCGCTATCGGTATCCATTTTCAAAAAAATAGGATTGTCTGAATATATAATGAATGAGATGGTTTATTCGATAAAAGTCACTTTATTAACTTAACAAAATTTTATGCATAACAGTTAACATAAAGATAATAATTGAGTTTAATTATTATTTATTAGAGAAAATATACTTGAAAAGAAGGACTTCTTAAACGTTTTCAAAAGAGTAATTTTGTATTTATAGTAACAGATTTGTCAAATGCATAAGTTACATGTGAAGTATACCGTTTTAAGTAGATTTTCTGCGCATTTAAATATGTATACTACATCCAATTTCCAAATTAATTTAGCTTAAAAAGCAGAAAATGATAACATTCGAGCTAGCATATTTTTTTATAATCGGAAAAATAATACATAAACTGAACTCATGAGAAAAAGTTGTTATTAAAGTAATAGCACATGTTGATCTCGGAGATCGTGGAGATTTCGATTTTTACAATAAGCCACCTTTATTTAAACATTATCTTTGCGGCAGGAGGCTGTCAATCAAATTAATAACTAAAGAAAGTTTATAGTGCTCTAAACGTACAAATAATGCTAGTTTGAATTACAATTGCGGAGAAATTTGCTTGCTAATATCTTGTTTTCATCTCTGAAATATGGATTAAACTAATAACACTATTACAAAAAAATTGCGCACATACAAATAGTATAAAATTGCGTAATTAAGTATGTTTAATGGTTCGGTTTTTTTTCTAGTCTTAATAAAAGACCTGTCTAAGCTAATTCAGATCAGACAAATCAATAAATGCTTTTGATATTTTTAATTATCGCGACGAATTTATGAATTAATTTAAAATTAATCACATATCCAAGTATTTTGATCACCAAATTTAAGTTTTAGTTTGCAATTTATAAATTAATCAAATAATCAGTGCTAAATTTTGTAAAAAATTTTGGTCTTCTGATCTATGTCAATGAAGGCGTTTTCCACATTATCTACGCATTATGTAAATAGGTTACGTAATCAGACTACCATTGTTTCCGCTTTTGTTCTGTACTACAGTGATATCTTTCTGTTTTACTAAATTTGGCGCAGTAATACTATCAGAGTTATGTGATGTGTATACTAAGGAAAGTGTAAGAGACGCCATGCTACCAGGATGACATGTTTAAAATAATCTTAAAAATCATAATTTAAAGTGGTTTAATACATTATGACGTAATATATTCCAATTGTGTAATTTAACATTCAAAAAAAAACCAATAAAAAAACAATAAAAATAAAAAAAAAACCGAATAAAAAAATTATTCGGATCAATTTCTCATCCGTTTCACTTTACAAAAGTTGCTAAACCTGATAAACATGATCGAGCAACACCTCATCAAAAATGTATCGTACGAGTGCGAATGCCTCCCACCTGCGCGTATTTCGAGTACGCACTGTGCGTTATTTCGAAATAAGGGTTCCCTAATTTTAATAAATAATATTTATTTATAATAAAAAGTGCTCTGGGACTAGCTTTGATAATAAGTAACCCAAATTTTTTTTGGCTTTAACAAAAGGTGTTCTTTCAAGTTGAGACGATTCTAACGTTAATAAAATCATCAAAAACGGTCCAGTAGTTCGCTCGCAATGGATCTTAAAATTTGTAACGTGCTTGTTTACTTTTGTTTACATTATACATAGTGATGGGCAATCGGTTGTTTTTCTAAAAATCTCACGCGTGATCCGCGCGGGATTGGTTTTTACAATTTATATTTCGGAATCTTACGGAAATGGGTCAAAATTTTACCTCGACCTCGGAATATTTTGAAACTCGGCCAGATTTATGACACTGCCCGAATTATATAATATAATCACGCGCAGTGCCTATCATTAATTACACATGTAAACAACTTTGAGGAGACATTGTGGGTGAACTACTGGACCATTTTTTGATGATTTACTAACTGTTATTGTCACTGAAGAATACAGTATGTTGAACAGGGGTGAACGTCCCGAGTGCCCCGAGTTTGTAGATCGTTACACAATTAATTAAAGATTTTTTTTTATACGT